GAGCGGCTGGGCCCGTGGGCCGTGGCCGCTGGGCCTGCGCGTCCGGAGCCTGTGCTCCGCAAATGGGAGAGGCCACAACAGTGAGAGGCCCGCATAACGCAAGAAAAAAAAAAAAAAAAAACCTAAGTACAGAGAAAATCGCTCTCCCCCTTTCCCACCTGACATCACATCTCCTTCCAAATCAATCTCATCCATAAAAATCTCAACCCTTGGCCCAGTTGTTCTCCCAGCTATATATTAATAAAAGAGTTTCAGGTTTCATGGATGGCTCTGAAAAAAATTCCTTGTTTGTTACATCTGGGGCATATTGGTGGGAAATGGCTGTACGAGTCCTGATGAAGTTGCAGAGATGAGCATACCATGGGCATTGCCTCCAGGAAGTCTAGGGCCTCACCTGGCTCCTCCACCAACTTGGTATATAATTCTAGGCTCGTGCTGAACCTCACTAAGCTTCGGTTTTGTAAAATAGAGATAATAGTAACTGCCCGGCTCACCTCCTGTTGTGAGTCTCTAATTAAGTGATGCATGTTCAAATCTTTTGAAAATTATAAAAGGGTTCCTCAGATATCATGTATATTCATTCAAACCAAGATCTAGAATTAAGGGCTTTTTGAAGAAATTCAGCACAGAAAGGGCACTTGTATTGGAACAAGATATTTCAAGAAGGAAAAGCATGGCATTAATTCAATCTTGGTACCAGCTGTGTGTGACAGGTGCTGGTTTCTGTAGGAACAGACATGTGTAACATATGTAATAGCCTCCAGCTTCCTACACAGAAGAGATTTTGCCAATCATATTCAGCAATTGGCACCATTCTGTCCCTAACATGTATAACACTCCTCTTGCCACTCTGCTGGTGATCAAAGATGTCACTCTTAAGGGAAATGCACTTTAATTAAGAAGAAATAGGTAGAAATCACTTAAAGCCTCAGGGTCCCCAACTCTCACATCCTGTAGCCCTCCCAGTGCCCCTCATGCCTTTCATCACGTGCATATCCATGGATCATCTAAACGGGAAGGGAGCCTAGACATCTCAACCCCATTAGGTTTCAAATGAGAAGATGGTCTGCAAAGATTTACTAAGGTGTCTACTGCCATGTGCTAATTAAGTTTCCGTGCTTAATAAACATTTGTCCAATCAAAACATGAGCATTGGAGGGGCTTCCCTGGTGGCGCAGTGGTTGAGAATCTGCCTGCTAATGTAGGGGACACGGGTTCGAGCCCTGGTCTGGGAGGATCCCACATGCCGTGGAGCAACTAGGCCCATGAGCCATGGCTACTAAGCCTGCGCGTCTGGAACCTGTGCTCTGCAACAAGAGAGGCCGCGATAGTGAGAGGCCCGCGCACCGTGATGAAGAGTGGCCCCCGCTTGCCACAACTAGAGAAAGCCCTCGCACAGAAACGAAGCCCCAACACAGCCAAAATAAATAAATAAAAATTAATAAACTCCTACCCCCAACATCTTCTTTAAAAAAAAAAAAAAGAGCAATGGAAAAAGAAGAAAGCCAATGATGTGTGCTTTGGAGAAGGAGCTGGGGAGCAGGACCGAATAAAATGTAACCAGTCCACATTACCAGTTACCCATCGAACCCCAAGAGCGAGGGCCGCCACACCTCCCCAGATCTACTCTCCCTCCCCCGGTGAACAAGGTCCCAGGTCTGCCATCCTGACACAAGTCAGCTCCCAGCAGCAAGACCCCTCACTGTGACTCAAGTCAGGTCAGGCAGCTGACAGCCTTCCACGCAGAGTCACTCAGAGCCTGTGTTCCTTCTTGGGTGAAGCACAGGCTCATCCAGTCACTGAGAAGCCAGCCCAGTATGCATAGAGGCCAGGGCATCGGCCATTTGCACACAGATCTGGAGTTAGAGCTATCGTAGAGCAGCAGCGGGAACAGCAGGAACAGCAGGACGTGGTCTCCTCTGGAGAAAAGTCCCAGCCATCGTGGGAGGCACGGTGCTGGGCCCAGCAAGTGGGCTCCTCCCATTGCTCCAGGGTCAAGGCCAAGAAGGGTCTTTCCATCAGGTGGGTCCTCAGCAGTAACGTTCCTCCATGTGCTTGGAAATCAGGGAGTGGGGGGCCTTGCGGGCACCTTCAAGGATGCTCCGGGGTTGGACTGAAAGGAACCACGTGGGAGTAGTGTTCATTAGCTGGGTTTGCAAACATGCAACTCTGTTTACCAAAAGGCCAAGCTTTCTTCCATACCTATCAGCCACTTTTATTTGCTTCCCTTTTAGAACAAATGGAGAAAGTCCTGAATGCTCCTTCCTCCCCCTCCCCCAACAAGCCACAGATTCACTTTGAGAAACACCACACCCACACCGGAGCCTGCTCCAGGTTCCTAGTTCCATACACCTCAGTGTTGACGTCTTCATATTTAGCAGAATACTCACCCACAGCACGCACATGTGCACACAAGCACACACACACACAAACACAACTTCGGGGAGAACTATAAAGTGCTCCTTTGCTTTGATCTAGAAACACAAGAGAGCTGGCAGTATGGCAGGAAGGGGGACAAGGCAAAATCAAGACATCTTGATTCTAGTCTCAGCTACACTAACGCACTATTGAGCCTCTTGGAACCTCAGTCTCCTTCTCTGTGAACAGGTGAACGGTCTCCATGGCAGGAGAGAGAGTACAGAAGGTGTAATATACGTCCAGGGATTCACCACTTCCTGGTGTTAATTTATTACTCGGGCTCCTATTGTTTTCTGTTCCTTTGAAGGCAAAGGAAAGGACCTGTTTTCTCAAAGAGGTATTCTGAGGCGAGGTATGACGTTCTCAACTGTTATGAAGTTCTGGAGCGGAAAAGAGGTATATAAGAATAACAATAAGAATAGCAATCCTTCCTGGGTGTGTCCAATTTACATGGCTGTTCTGAGGATCAATGAAGTTAATACATGTGGAAGCACTTGGAAAGCTATAAATTTGAATACAAACATAAGGAATTAAAATTATTACTATAGCAGAAAATCATATCCGGACTAGACTGAGTCACTTAATTAGATGGGCAGTTTTCAGAACCCCACAAGTCCTGTGATCACCGAGCTTGTGGTCACGTTGATGCTCCTGAACAGGAGACAGAGCAGCCAGGATGTAGCCCGGCCCTCCGGGTTGGCAGACAATTAATCACAGGGGATCCCAGCACGGGCGCGGGCTGCTTGATAATTGATACCCAGATTGAAGAGAGGTGACTTATCTGAGCAAGTGGAACCTCCAGGCGCAAGAAAGAGCACAGGCTTTAGAGTAAACCAACCTGCTTCAAATCCTTACTCTGCCATCACCAAGTGGGGGACCTGGAAAGAGT